AGACGTATAAATATAGAGTTCTCAGAACGACTATCAACTGGTCGACCAGCAGCAATGCGATCGTATGGAATAGGGGCCCCCACTGATGAGAAGTAGTGAGTGATAGATTGTGGGCGACCTTTGAAAGAGGTATGGAATTTGGATGAAAAAGAATGTGGTAGGTTGGTAAGTGGGTAGCTATTATATTATATCGGCAAACATACTAAAGCTTGATATTATTATTTTCCATAAATATTACAAATATATATTTATTAATAAATATCTTTGTTACATGAATACAATAAACTTGTTATGGAGGTGGGGAATGGGACAGTGATTGCCAAGAGTTCGGATATGTAAGTATCGTGGTCAATTGAGGGGCAGGAGAAGAAGATATGGTTTAGGTCCCCATAGGCCCTGCATGAGCATTCAGGGTCAGGTACAATTTTAAGTTTGAACAGGTACGCTGGAATTGTCTAGTGACCAAGTCGCAGCCTACAAATAGTGCAGTTAGTTTTTTGTCAAATTTCATCTTGCTAAATCATGGCCTGCGAGGGGTAGACTCTTGAACTGAAGCGGTAGTGCTTCCCTTTTGTCATCCAGCCTCTATTCCATGCCTCGAATAAATGCCATCATGACTATAGTTCGCGGGATGGATGTCCCCATCACGAACAGCTGCGTTTGCCTGTGTCTCAGCTTTCTCATTGCCAGAGATGCCCGGATGACTCGGGATCCAGGCGACGGCGTAGCTCTTCGGCGAGCGTTAGAAGTAGAAATTTCTGATTTCAAAAATAACAAATTGGAAACATTTAAAAAATGTAATTTGGAAGGTTCCTATTATATTCTACGTTTAGAAAAATCTTTTGAAGTTTTGAGTTTTATGAAATAAAATTGTACATCTGAAAACAACGCAATAGAAAAAACGAAATTTATTACACAACAGCGAAAAAACTTCCAACAACTACTCCACCACTTGTTGTTGGCTCCTTAGACTATGGAAACTAAGTTCAACTTTTGACAGGTATCAACATTAAATGTGGATTTTTTTTCCATCCTCTAAGGGAAAAATAAAGGAAAAATGTGATTTTTTCAAAATCGAAATAATTTTTCCATGACCCATCACGACTTGTATCCATGGCCATGAAATAAATTTAAAAATAACATAACGTCTTACTGTCGTCAATCAACGTTGCCAATTTGTGGGGAATTCCCCAAATTTTCGCTCGTGTAATCGTTACTGTAAGGAACACTGTCATGAACTATATCGATGTGTTTTTGAACATCGCACATCCTTCGCATTATTAATAAGCGGCTTAAACAGAATTATTATCAGAGCACTTGGTCCTGAATTGTAAAATTACCAGTCGGTGCGTGTTGAGTTCGCGGTCCTTTCTCCCGCTTAGGCCGGTCCCCGCTATGAAGAAAAACGAAATCAGTTATTGATAAACAAAGCCGAGCAGTTTAGGTACTTCCACACCAAAACTTACCACTCGTCAACTTTAAATATTAAATATAGGTCGAAACTTAATTTACTCATTGATTATGTCTAACATTAACATAGTATGACCAAATGCGCAACAAATAATTAAGTGAATTACATTTGTAAGGAAAATAAATGATCTTTTTTTTCAAAGACTGATTGAATCTCATTAAAATAAATAAATGATTTAAGGTCATCTAATTTTATTTATTTTTATTTATTTATTTACTAAGGCTTACCAACTAAATACATACAGATACATTATGTATTTATAAAAACGAAACATTTAAAACTAGTATTGTGCATGCATTTAAATTAAAGGTATGCACTGCATTACATAAAGGTAATAATTATTATTTTGGAAGCACGAGAGTATGACTAGTCTGTCTATATACATATATGACTAGATCAAATCAAATTTACTTTCAACAATTTACGTACTTTCAAACAGCAAAAACAAATAAAGCCGAACAAAACTAAGCAAAAATTAGGCAAAAAATTAAAATAAAAAATTAAGCAAGCCTAAAAAATTTTATAATTTGCTCATAATTTGCTTTACATTTTACATTCTGTTTACATTCACAGCAAACGTAATAGATGGTTACATTTTGAGTTTCTTAATTCTTTATTATATTTTTAAGCGATGTATTTGTAATAAACAATGAAAACTCGATATGTGGGGAATTTTTGGGGAATATTAATTTAGCTCTACCCAAAATTTGGGGATTTTGAACAGTTGGCATTCGCAGCACTGGTCGTCATTCACAGTCATTGATTCGCTCTGGACCTTTTGGAGGGAAAAGTGTCGTTTTTATTTTGACTTTCAATTATTTTGTGAAATCTAGTTTAAAGTGGAATAGGATAGTGCTATTGTGCCTTAATCGAAGATTAAAACGCGAAATTATACGAATCTCGAACTAAAATATCAGTATCGGCCCGTTCTAAGGAATCCCGAGTCAATCCAACCACGCCGCCTCAAATTGCCTATCCTCTTTGTGGCGGCCATATTTACAGAAAAACTTATTTTTATGTTTTCGGCTGAAGGTCTTTGTTTCCATGGCCAGAAATAAATTAATTAAAAAAAAAAATTCACAGTCATTCATTATCATCTAATAGTCTGTGCATTCATTCATTCTCTCTTCAGTGATGTGATGTGATGTGATATGTCTTTTTAATTTGTGGTGATTACTGTCGTTTGTGATTATTGTTTGTATCGCATCAATTGAATTTCGAGATAATTGTCATAAAACTATAGTCAATCTTTGATATTAGTGTGGTTATGTAGTGCAAATTGTTCCTAAGAAATGTTTAAAATAATATAAAAAAATAGTCACTAGACTTGAAGAAAATTTATTCATATGATACGCTCGATGTATAATTTTAAAACAATGCAGTATTTTGGCTCTATACATTGTATTTATGTTTTAATTGCATTGAACGCTATCAATTTTGCGGCATGTGAGCCAGTAACAATCAGTCTATTGAGCACAGTTCTTGTTGCGGGTTGGTACAAATGGGACATGGTAAAGGATAAAACGATATGCCGTTTTACAGAGTGCTGTAATGCGAACTATATCCCATATGATCTTGACAGTAAGTATTTTACGCGCTTTAGTTTCTTACAATTATTATTTGACTTTGCCAAAACTTCACCAAAGAAATAGTACCTACATATACTTTTCCTGTGGAATTTATCTTTCTTATATATGGGAAAATAGTAGCACTTATATGCACAGATTAATGTTTAAAGTATTTCCACTGTTTACCAGTGGAAAATTTAAAAATGGTTAAATCTCCAAGAAGATACATGTGGTGTTCTTGTTAATTGGGTTAACAATCCACAGAAATAGAAGCAGGGATACGACCTGACATGTTGTGTGTGAGAATGGCCAATGAATATGTTATTTATGTCAATTTTTATTAATTATTAACTTACAACATTATTAAAAATCAAACTAACATTAAATTAAAAAGAATTGGTGAATGTAAAATAGGGTTTGCATGTAGTTAAACCTAAAATAATATATCAAATAGATGTAAATTGAAACCATTTTCAGTGGGTTTTCCTTTCATTGCAAACTATTTTAATTACTAAAAATATGTAAAGACAGCAGCACATCCACTACACATTGACGGATCTTATTCCGTTACACTGGAGGCGATATTCAATCAAAAATGTATACAGGGTTACAGGAAAAGTCGTGCTAGATCCGTTAAGGGCGTGGAGTACTCATCATTTCTGACTTATTTTACTATGAAACACCCTACCCTAAACTTAACCCTTTTCGAGATATTAGACTTTTATTTTTTTTATTCAAAATTGCCGATTTTTAGGCTACTAAATTTAATTTTGTTTATTTTGTGTGTCTTATTATTATAATTATTGCATTTTTACATGTGTGATAAGATGCTTTAGGACCTCAATCATTAAAATAGTGAATAAGTTAATTCAATACGCCATAGTAGAAAAGAGAAAGTTAAGAAATTAAAAAAAAAATTAGTAAGTTTATTTTTCTCTAAGGGATATCTAAAAAAAATATTATGGCAGTTGATCGGCAGATAAGTTATAAAATATCTACGTTTCATCAGCTATCTAACAAGGTATAACAATCTAGGATTTGTATTGCATTTCGTGGAAAAAAAAGTAGTTGGGACGCTCCAGGTAGCAGTTCTAACGGTCCCGCGCCTATTGTCCTTAAGTTAAGACGCACCGTGCGAATGAGACAAGCGACGGTTTATGTAAGTAGGTAGGTGCGAATGAAAGAAAAAATATTGTAGAGATATCACGGGATATTGTTTTGTTTGTCAGTCTGCTTTTGTGCTTCGTACATAGTAGATGTGATATCGTTTTGCTCTTTTTCTTGACTTGGCTGTGATTCTGGACTGTTTTTTCCGATTTGTGACTACTGTGCTTGTTAACCGGACTTTGATTTGTACTTATGCTACGGAAGTGTTGAAGATGACGTCGTACACACCTGAGGAATATGCTGATATGCTTATTTGTTACGGATACTGCGATTGTGTGTCTGCGCAAGCTCGCAACGAATACATAGCTCGATTCCCCGGTCGTCGAGTGCCGGATGTGGCTGTTTTTGACAGAGTTTATCGGAGACTTCGAGAAACTGGCTCTATTTTGAGACGAAATACAGACATGGGCAGACCACGAATTAATGACGACGAAGAATAGGACAATGAGATAGTGCAACGCTTTCGAGCGGATCCGACTACTTCCACTAATATTGTTGCCCGTGATCTGGGACTTTCGCAATGGAGAGTGTGGTTTACAGTGCATACTGCTGGCCTATACCCGTACCATTACACGCCGGTACACACTATTGAAGAAGGAGACCCCGCTATAAGGTTGGACTTCTGCAGATTTATGCTAAATGCTGACGTAGAAGACCCAGATTTTCTAAGAAATATCTTGTGGACAGATGAATCCAAATTTGATAAAGATGGCATAACTAATTATGACAACGCGCATTACTGGGCCCCAAAAGAATTTAGGAATCCCAATAAGAAAAGAGTGAAGGGTTCCCAACGAAGATTCAGCGTGAATGTGTGGATGGGTATTATCTCCAATCATTTGATTGGACCTTACTTTCTCCCGGACAATCTAAATGGGGAAAGTTACGAAAACTTTTTGAGAGGAGACTTGAGTGATTTGCTGGATGATCTGCCACTCAACTTGATCAGGGACATGTGGTTCCAACATGATGGCTGCCCTGCCCATTTCAGGAGAAGTGTCAGAGACTGGCTGGACACAAATTATCCAAACAAATGGATAGGACGAGGTGGGCCGTTGCCATGGCCAGCAAGAAGTCCGGACCTAACCCCCATGGATTTTCATGTGTGGGGGCGCATGAAAAGTCTTGTCTACAGCGAGTCAAATCCAGTTTCGTCTGTGGAAGAGTTAAAAGAAACGATTGTGGATGCAGCAAATCAAATGAGGACAACGTTGACCACTGGAGTAGTGAAGACTGGTCTCCGTAGAAGAATGCGACAATGTATTAGAAACAGAGGCGGCCATGTTGAACATGAACTGTAGAATAACAAAAAGTTGTGTGAAAACCTGATTTAATAAATACTTTGCATGCTTACCTATTGTTTTGTTATACTTTTTAGGGCTAAGTATTAATTTTCTCCTCCACTATCGCCTATGAAACTAAGTTTTTTCAATGCATTTAAATAAAACCCTAGATTGTTATACCTTGTTAGATAGCTGATGAAACGTAGATATTTTATAACTTATCTGCCGATCAACTGCCATAATATTTTTTTTAGATATCCCTTAGAGAAAAATAAACTTTCTAATTTTTTTTTTAATTTCTTAACTTTCTCTTTTCTACTACGGCGTATTGAATTAACTTATTCACTATTTTAATGATTGAGGTCCTAAAGCATCTTATCACACATGTAAAAATGCAATAATTATAATAATAAGACACACAAAATAAACAAAATTAAATTTAGTAGCCTAAAAATCGGCAATTTTGAATAAAAAAAATAAAAGTCAAATATCTCGAAAAGGGTTAAGTTTAGGGTAGGGTGTTTCATAGTAAAATAAGTCAGAAATGATGAGTACTCCACGCCCTTAATGGATCTAGCACGACTTTTCCTGTAACCCTGTATATGTGCTGTTGACTGTACAATACAATAGAATGGAATGAAATATGAATACATAGTCAGCTGGCACATTAGACAGGAGACTTCCAGGTCTGTCACAGATATGCCCGTTGACTTCTTATGTGATGATGTTCACTATTGAAATATCACACATTTAAGACTAACAAACCTGTACTTATAAATAATTTAAAATATTATTATCCTCTCAATGTTGCAATAAGAGATTATAATAAGTTTTTAATTTATTAATATCTTGGAATTGTCTGGTATAACACATATGCAGAGCACCATCCATCCAATAAAACAGTATTATAGTGCAACTTTAGTATGACGTTATGCTAATAGACGGCATTGACGAGTTTTTTAGAAATCCATTTTATTATTTTTTGTAACATAACTCATTATTTGGGGAATCTCTGCAATTACATTTTAATGCTTTCAACTGGAAAATAAAATAAATAAATAAATTAAAAAAAAAAAATATTTATTTTAACTTTAAGCTATTTTCAATGATGGTCATTTCATACACAAACTCGTTCTAAAAAAATTGTACTTGTATAATTATAACTACAATTTTATCAATATGATTTCCATTAGATGTGAGGAAATACTTACCTCTATACACAGCTTTTTCTAGCTTATATGTATGTATTTTATATTACACAAAGAAGACAACTGATCTTGTGCCTCTACAAAATGAGGATGAAATATGAATCAAATTGTACCGATCTTATATAATTTAGCATATGAGCATGAGGTCAGCAAAACTAAACTAAGTAACCTTAGTGCTAAGAACTGTAATTGACTGACAATAAAAAAATATTTCAGAATTAAAACAATCATTATCACTAAAATTATTTGGTCAGCCTCTAGTGAGTGAAGTGGTGAACATTCTCAAAGCTCACAAGGAAGTTGTTTTTGATGAGAATAAACAGAACCAAAAAGCTCTAGTACTAAGTCTGCATGGATGGACAGGAGTTGGGAAAAACTATGTAGTAACCATGATTGCTGAAGCACTCTACACTGAAGGCATGAATAGCAAATATGTTAAAGTATTTATGGGAAACAAGGATTTTGATTGTACGGATTTGGAGAAAAGCAAGGTAATTTTATTTAAAATTTTAAAATCTTTATTTTGTTAGTATTGCATGTGATTTTGACATTTCATATACCAGTAATCATGACATTATATCAAAAGAAAATACTAACATCACAACTAGAGCTTTCATCCCGGGAATCTCGGTCTCGAAAATTTCGAGTTCCGACAATTTTTCGGCGTTTTCGAGACTCGTGACTGATGTTTTCAGTCTCCGGAATATCGACACTTTTGTGATTAAAGTCACTTAAAAAGTTTTAAAAATTTACTAGACACAATATTTTTTTTATTCTGGTTACATGCATAGTGCAATACTGTAGAGTGGAGTATTTAAAGCTACATAACTATAAAAATAAAAAACTTGCATAAATATTTTTTTATTTTATGACTTATATGACTTAATAAATAACTATTATTATTACTATTTTTAACCGTCTAAATGTATGCATAGGCCCTAGCCTATAAGTATGAAAATCCACTTTTGAAGTAGTCTCGAAAGTCTCGTTTTCCCCGGGATTTTCGAGATCACAACGAGCCTCGATACTTCTTTCCCAGGATGTGGAAATGCAGCGAGATTGACTTATTACATCTTTACTTAGCGATGGTAGCTCTAAAGGTACCTCACTGAGTGAAGAAATAAATTTCTCACAAATGGCGCTACGGCAAAAAAGTCGCTAAAACCCAAAAACAAATATCTACAACAAAGACAGAAAAATTCGTTATGTCTCCTGGTTAATTTCGTGGCTTATTTGACAGAGCACCTGACATGGATTGTCTGAGGGTGCTGGTTCAAATGAATTTTTCTTAGTGTTTCTATTTTTGTTATAATAATTATTACAAACTAGAGGAGTAATTTCACAAAAAATAATTGAATATCGTAAAGCATTGTGACATTCAATAAACTTAAAAATTACAATTATTAAAGTGACATCTCTAGTCAGCGATGGCAGCTGTAAAGGTCCCTCTGAATGAAGAAATATATTTCTGATAGATGGCGCTATGGTACAAAGTCGTTTAAAACCTGACCTACACACAACAACGGACAGATAACTACTAAAACCAAAAGCAAAAATCTACAACATACATAGAAAAATTCGTAAAGTCTGCTGGTTCATTCTCATCTATCTGGCACAGATTGCCCGAGAAGTTGATCCAGCCAGATCGAATGAATTTTTTCTTAGTGTTCCGATCTTTGTTATAATAATTGTTCGCGCCGATGCTAAGGTAGACGGCGCTTAGGTGTAAGTTCACCTACCCTCATTTTCTTATACCATTTATACCGCTATCCTTTTTACTCTGCTGCAACCGGACTACTGTTAGTGTTTAGACCAGTCTGCAACTAACCGTCCTGGGTATCGTGCGTCCGCCTTGGACCAGCCATCGACACTCGCTTAGCTCTGTGGATTCACCGCCATATTGAACTAACGTACTCTGCGTAGTTTCACCTATTTGTTATTTCGCTGTGTGTGAAATACCGCTGTGTTTTGTATTATTCGTGTCTGTTATTGTACTGTACTGTTAAACGGTGATAAAGCAAGTGACAGTAACTGGTAGTCACCTCTGACCGCTACCGCATCAACGGAACCGCCACGAGTACCACCGCATTTGTCGGAGACATTTTGACGCCTACGCCAGCTGGAAGTAAAGGAAGAGCGAACACGTACGACCACGAGATCCACCTCTAAGATCGGTGTAGCATAGTTCAGTTGCACAGCACTCACTTTACCTACCGGTTCAGACATTCTTTCTTCATACAGTCCACTTCTACCACTCTTCTTAAACGAACCACCCAACCCCAACCCGCTCGTATTCGGCGCGTACAGTCATATAGTTTGACTGCCGCTCTCTGGTACAATAATTATAACAAATTAATGTATTTTTTTAAACCCAATAGCTGAATAATGATTTGTTTACTGGTTTGTTGATTGCATTCAAAATTATATACCCTCATCTTCCCTAGCTGTGAAATTGGGCCTTTTATCAATATAAGACGCCCAATTTCACAGCTGTGGTCACATCTTCACAGTACATTCACGATGTAATTGTTTATATGCGTAAAAACATACATATTTACGAGCGATGCATAGGCGGAGGCCGACTGTTACGTAACATAGGAATACTGAAACCCGTTGCTCATAGAACCGAACTCGCAACGAAAAATCCGCGAGTAATCGGGCCCCAATTTTACGAACACGTACCCACAAGTCTAAAAAGTGTTGCAAATGACGAAGTGTTTTGTTCCCGACTGAAAAACCATTTATTGTATAATGAATTCTACAGTGTGGAGGAATTTCTTTTAAAGAAATTGTAATGATATTTTTCATTTTGGACGTTTGTATTTTGTAATTTTTATTTGTATTTTTGTAGTTCGTATTTTTCTTTATTTCTCTTTTAATTATTTTATTTTATATTAACATTAAAATTATTATTTATTTTAATGATGATCATGTTATCCCTTGACATTATATTTCGAATTGTGATATTATGAAATTGAGAATATGAAATAAATGATTCTATTCTTCTATTCTATTCATTGTTATATCGATAAAACACATATACTGCACTGAATTATATTATAACATATTGTTTTTATATTCTAATAGAAAGCATTAAGAGCAACAGTGGACAAAATAGTGAAGAACTGTCCAAGAAGTTTGATAATTGTAGATGAGATTCACCATATGTGCCCTTCAGTTCTGGATGCCCTTAAACCTATGTTGGACCATCACCATGCTGTAGATGGAGTTGATTACAGGTAAGCATTTATTTGTATGCTTTATTTTGTGAATTACATTGTTTCTGATCCACCTCTATTTTCATAATCAAGGTACAAAGTATTATCTGTCATTAAAGTGATATAATTATGACTACCTTAGTGGCCGAACGGTTACCATGCCGGATTGCCACGCAGAGGTGCCAAGTTCGATTCCCGGGCCGGGAGAAATATTTGTATAGCCTACATTTATTTCTCACGTGACTTTGGCTATAATTTGTGGTTGTCTATGTACGTGTGTCCATGGCACCCGCGACACAGAGTTTCCCTAGTGCGGGGCAATGTTGAGTGTGTGCGTTATACATTCTAACATTCTATTCATTGACTTACAATTATATGGACGTCGGGTCCGCGCTAAAAAGTGTCCGAACTTATAGGGCGTTAAAATCGTATACAGAGCGTCATTCACGCTTTAGTCTTCGTTTGTTCGACTGACAGCGAAGCAAGCAAAATTAGACAACTGCGATGACATTACAGTTTCAATTCAACGTTTTAGCTTTTTCATATTCCTTTACATGTCACTACGTTTAAATAGGTTGACTTGGGACATTTTTTCGTGGTTTTTTTATTAGACCCGTCGTCCATTTATTTGTAATTCAATGATTCTATTGAATAAAACATTTACGTATTTTCTTTTCTTTAATCTGTCTCATCCCTATTGATAAAATGTTTCTTTTAACTTAATTCAAGTACCTAATAATAAACATGGACATGTTTTTATTTTAAATTTCAGAGACAGCATTTTCATATTCATATCTAATATTGGAGGAGGACAGATAGCAGATAACCTGATAGAATTGTACAGCCAGGGAGTAAAGCGAAATGAAGTGGAATTCCACAATTTTGAAGCCATTATTAGAAGACATGCATATTATGAAGGTTGGCATGATTTTACTTACTGATTTGTCTTACACTAAAAATGACCTAAAAATAAAAGAAGTTTGAGGTCGACTCTGTTCCAACATTATGTTTAAAGCATTGTGTCCTGGTAGCAGACAGGTTTATTCGACGACATCAATTAAGTTCCATATACGGCGACTTACCAAATGGGAAAATTGGCGAAATGTTAGAAAATAGTACTGCGTTCTTATGTGCCTATTATTTGACATTATACATTTCTTGTACATAATTATATCAGTTTGCTACTGCAATTCAAAGTATATCTGACCATGTAGAAGGATTTATTGAAATAATGTTTTTCCGTAAAACTCAAATAGCTTCGAAATTTGTACTTTACAGTTTAATGTATCAGTATCCGCACTTAGCCCATTTTCCGTCCACACGCACAAATGCGTTTGTGAAAATGTAAGCTGTCGTCATGTGGGTTGTGCTATTGTTGTGCTTTACAACCATTTGCAACGTTATATGTTTCCATACTAACATGAAATGGACTCATATGTTCGCGCGTTTTACTTCGTGTGGTGGTAATAGCGCCATCACAAATATCAAAAAGCTACCATTTAATTGCGGGAACATTTTTAGCTGCCAGATTAACACAAACTAACAAAACTACACAAGTTAACAAAAACTATGATAATTTATTTGTTTTTTGTTATAGGGGGTTTTGAAAAAGCAGCCGTTATAGCTCAACACTTGATTGATTATTACATACCATTTCTACCACTTGAACAAAGCCATGTGGAAAAATGTGCATTGTCAGAATTTCGTCTTCATGGTGTATATCAACCCACAGATGAAATGATGGCGTAAGTATTGTTGCGCAAAAATGTAGAATACTGTACACGGCTGTACCGTAGAATGTAGCTTTATTCTTAGTCAATCATTAATGTACCTATGGAGAAATCACATGTAACATTGCAAAACCAAAGGAATTGCTGCAAGCCGTGGAATTCACAATTAGTACAAGAACACGCAACTTACATATGAAGGTATATTGTGGCGGATTTCGTTCTAAACGTACTTATTATATTAATACTTAGACTATGTAGTCCCACTGCTGGGCGCAGGCCTTCCTTCCTTTCAGAATGAGAGAGCTTGAGCTGCGGTACTCACGCGGGCCCTATGCGGTTTGGGAACTTCACACCAATCATTAAATTGCTTTGATAAACTCAGAGGTTCAAGTCCAGACTGGAACCATCTGCTTGAGAGGATACCACGGCTTCTTATAAAATACATTATAAGATCATTACTACCCTGTTATAATACCTGGAAAACCTTGGCATTCGTATTGTCCAAAGGTTTCTATACTCACTTTCTATAAGACTCATAAAAAATATTTTTTTATTATTCCCAGGGATGCATTATCAGTAATAAACTACGGGCCTACAGAGGACCAACCGATTTTCGCCAATAGCGGATGCAGACGATTTACTAGGCACATTCCATTTGTTATAGCCAAACATAAAGCTAAACGTACTGAATTATAGGCATATACTTAACATGTACTTTTCATAATAACCAAGTCCAATTACCAAACCATGTGATATATCTGAGATAGTTATAGCTGAAAGCTATTTCTATCTTTCCTTTAAGGAACGTGTTGCTAATTATTATGTGGAAGGTCTTACTAATGATTATTTTTCATGAATTCGAATGAATTTAACAAATGTTGTGATGAGGCAGTCTAATCAAGGTTTAAGTTATTCAGTGTTCAATATTGTAAATAATGAAGTAGTTATTTTTGTACATAATTTTGTAAATTAAGTTTTCGCTTATAAGCAAGTTTGCAAAGTGCGTATTTCGTTGTTCTCGGTTTTGTAACAACTTTTCATTCTGTGTGATATGGCCCGTTTATTAAATCAAAACAGTAAGACGCACAGGTGTAACTTAATGCCATATTGTAGATAAAGTTATAAAATCTTTTATGTAACTGATAATTTGGTTTATTACGTAATACAGCTTTAATGTTAATTTGATTATTGTGAGAATGGAACTAAGTAATCAAATTCAGGAGTCAGTTTGTAAATGTTTATTTACAAAGAGCAACCCCTGTGCAATTTCCAGTTAATAACTGTACAAAAATTCTTCGTATGTTGGTCTCCAAGACACGTTTATTTCCAGTCCATCATAAGTTTGAAGATGGTAGAAAATAGTTATTTTCATTTATTACAATGTATAAATAGTAACATAATTAGAGGCGCAGTTCCATGTAACCTACTTCTAAAATCAGGTTCTCCAAATACATCGCCTACTTAAAAAAACATTTTTTGTTTTATTTTTTTTTATTTATTTAGGACAACCAACAAGACATACACTTAATACATACAATTTTGAATATACAACTCAAACGAAGTAATGCTAAAGTGTTGACTCAATTAAAGGTTGCCACCACATGCAACACAGTCAAACACAGTTAATTATTTATATACATAATATATACAGTTCTTCACACTTTTAATTTATATATAACATATAGCACAATGTTTTTTTGTATACCAAATATAGAAAGATAATGTATTACTAATAGGAAGAAACTAAGATGTTAACAAACATAATGATACTGTATTAACATCGAGTAAATAACCAGAAATAGAGACGAAATGTCATTTAATTTGTTTGAAAACTATTCTGCCATATCATTACTGTGACAACTGGGCTCCTGGGATTGGCTAGCCCAAGTTCGAAACAATTGACGGGTGTCGTCAACTATTTCACTACAAATCGACCAGTTAACTTGAGCTTTGCTATAATGGACGAAAATTGCAAAATTACATATTTAATATTTAATTACCGATGAAACGTGATTCCGTTTCTTTTGTAATTAGATGTTTTGCTGTTTTTCCCATTTTGGCATTGTTAGAGATATTATATTTATTACAATAAATACAGAATATTTTTTGAAATATACGGAGGCGTACACACAGGACAATAGTAGCTTGGCTCTATTTCAGTGCAAACTGTTGTAAGTACTTTTTTTTGTGTAGTAAGTACTTACTACACAAAAAAAAAAAAATTTCAGTAGCCAGTACTGGCTACTGAAAATTATTCTTAATGTATATATTTTTCGAATTTTAAAAGCTTCCTTTTTTTTGTATGATATCTGTATGACTTTGTCTCTCTATTAAAAACTCTTCAAAAACAAACACATCTTTCTTGAATATATTTTTACAAATACCTCTCCAAAAGCTCCAATAGAACCCAAATTCAACACGTTATCAGCACGAAGAAGCTCTGGGCAGAGGCGAAGCAATTATTTGTGTTTAAATATTTTTTTCGATTGTGTTTGTTTACGTGACATCGGAAAACAAGACGTTCTGTCGCCAATCACGCGATAATCAATCATTTGGTGAGTAAACGAACTTCACCCAATTTTTGTATTGTGGTAACACTGCTTTGCCTTTGCTAACTTTTTTATTTTGACACTATCGAGACGGCAGTAACGTCAACGGCAATGGCGGGAACCGAGTGAACTTCAGTTTGGTTAAAACTAAAGATATGGCTGTGTAAGAGACAAACAACTGGTAAGTTCCTCTATGTACTGTTTAACTTTACGACATGCATAGAGACGGTGGAAAGACACACAACTAAGTTAATTGTCGAATTTAATATTGTTACGAAACATGTTCTATGATTATCAATTTGCCACGTGCTGACTCGACCCGCAGTAGACTAGCCTCATTGACGCTTATGACTGTGGGTGCCTATCGTTGGCATCAATCGGGTCGGTATTAGCTGGCATGTACACTTGCACCGCGATTAATAGCTATCGAAGCTTAAAACCTGTTGGGCAGAGGTTGGACTAAAGGGGAGGCTGGAGGTCCACTCGGGGCACCTCTCAGGTGTCCCGCCCCAGTACATAGGCGAGATGTGCTGGGGGTTTGTACGCGACATACGAGGTACACCTCTACGGTTCCTCGTCATAACGCAATGTAGTGAACCATGAACGTTTTAATCATGGTTCAGTGTCTTTCTACCCGCTTATATGTATACCTATAAATTAAGTATCTTTTGTCGTCCCTCAACATTTACATTGAGAATATTTGAACCAGGTA